TTCCCTGACCCCTGAGGTTTCGGCTTATCACTTACATTCCTCTCCCAGACCTTCCCCATTTTGCCCAGCCTCGCCCCCTCTCCTCCGTCGTTCCGCTCTCCGCAACCCACTGCCATTAAGATTCAATCCACTCTATATATCCCCGTCACAAGCTTCCTCGCCTCCTTGTCGCCCCACAAACGGCATCAGTTGCACCTTAGACAATATTAAGGCTCGTAATAGAATACACCACACAACGAACTCCGTCACTCCAGATGCAGGTCATACCCCCCCATCCAGCCTTTCCGCATCGCTCCCCCGACCTCTCTCGCTCGCTTCGGCGGCAGCCATAAGCGCAGCCCTCGCTTTTTCTGCTCTTCCTGCTCTAGCCGCTGACGTCACCTCCTTCGAGTCGCTTCCGCAAGCGGAATCGGTCTTGTTCCGCGATTCTTCCGCGCTAGAGAAGGGCATGGTCCTCGCGCCGGCATCGCTCGCAGCGCCTTCATTGGAAAGTTTTGGCGATTCAAGTTTGACTTTATTACCCGCTACAGTATCACCTTCGATAGCAGACAACGCGGTTACAGTCTCACTTTCCGATAGTGTCTCAGGCGCGTCCAAATCGGGTCCGATCATGCAGCTGGCTTCACGCGACGCGGCGTCGCGCGGCGTGGTCAGCACGTGTTCGAATCTCGTCGCCGCCTGCGGTAAGGATTTTTTATATTCACGTGGTGCATCTGATGCATATCCATTACTCGCAGTAAGCCGTTCTTCTTCGACTAAAATACCTCATTTGCCTCCGGTCATGGCTGCTTCCTTGTCATTGTAGCTGTTCGCCTGAAGTATTTCTTGTTGCCTGCGTACTTACGGACAGCCTTACTGTTCTCACGTCCGTCATTGTGCTTTACGTTTTTGTTTGACGTGTTTCCTTTCTTCTGGCGTGTTACCTTTCGTTTCGCTTGTTTCGTTACCGTTCAATTCGCAGTGCTGCTGGTTTGGTTCCAGCGAGTCGGCACCCTGCCACCTTCCACAGCCCACGTCCTAGCCCAGGTGCGCTCAATCGCTTGCTCCGTTCCTCTCGTATCTCTCCTCGCTCTCTCTCGCTCTCTGCTGCTAGCTACTCGCCGGCGCTCCGTCCATGCGTCGGGGTCTGTTTCCCCTCTGAATGCACGTTGCTGACTCGGATCCCCCTCCCTTGCGTCGCACTCCCTCTTTTTATTTCCTCGGCCTTCCGCCTGCCTTCCGCCTTCCCCGGTGCGTACCCTGTCTCGTTCCAGGTGGCGAATCGCGTGCTCATCCCGTGCTTCCTGGCGGTACACGTGGCGTCGGCAGTTTCAAGTGAACCTGAGCTGGTGCTATCCTCGCTCCCCCTCATGGCATTCGCGCAGGTATGCTCCCCCTTCCGTCTCTTCTCTTCTCTTCACTTCTCTGCTTTTCGAGTCGACTCAGATAGTGAACCTTAGTTGGTGCTATCCTCGCTCACCCTCATTGCACTCGCGCACGTATGCTCCCCCTTCTTCTCACCTCGTGACTTGCCTTTCCTCTCCCTTGCGTCAACTCAAAAGCCACCTCGCTCTCTCTCTGTCTGTCTTGTCCTCGCCGCCTCGTACCCTCTCTCATCCAGGGCCACTGTGCAGCCTCATTCGGTCACCTAGTGACTATTCCGTCGACTCAAGAGTCACTTCGTTCTCTCTCTCTGTCTTGTCCTGCTGCCAATTCCCCTGCCCTCTCTCATCCAGGTTCTCTGTGCAGCCTCGTTGGGTCACCTCGCTCACCAATCCTCCCCCCAATCCTCCTCATCCTCCTCATTCCTCCCCCGGCCGCTTCATCTCTCTCCACTCCCCTCAACCGCTCTGCACCAACTCGCTGCCGCCATCTCCGTCTCCCTCTCCTCCCTCAACCAACCGGCCGCCGAACCAACCACCGAACCAGCCGCCAAATCTGCTGCAGCAGCAGGCGGTAGTGACGCTGCTGGCAATCTCGGCGGTCGGCTCGGCGCGCCAGTGATGACGCTGCTGTTGCTGGTCGTCATGACGGCCGTCTGCGAGACAGGGGGAGGCGGCGACGGACTGGCGGGACAACTGGCGCTGCTCGCTGTGGGCGGGTGAGTTGTGGGTACGACTGGGAGATGGAGGGGGGGGAGAATGAGGTGGTACGAGGGGGGGCGGTAATAACGCTGCTGCTGCTGCTGGTCGGCATGACTGCCGTCTGTGAGACAGGGGGAGGCGGTGACGGACTGGCGGGACAACTGGCGCTGCTCGCCGTGGGCGGGTGAGTTTGTTGGTACGAGTGGGAGATTGAGGAAGAGCGGGGAAGAGATGGCGCTGCTTTTGCTGGCCGGCATGACGGCCGTCTGCGAGACAGGGGGACGGACTGGCGGGACAGCTGGCGCTGCTTGCCGTGGGCGGGTGAGTGGACGGGGGAACGAGTGGGAGGGGCCGGGGGAAAGGGAGGTTGGGTGGAGGGGGAAATTAGTGTGGGGGGCCGGGGGAAAGCGATGAGCGGAGGGGGAATGAGTGTGGGGGGCCGGGGGAAGGGATGAGTGGAGGGGGAATGAGTGAGGGGGGGGTTGAGAGAGCGGTTGAGTGAGGCGAGGTGGAGTGCGTTGCTTCAGCAAGTCGCATTGCATTCTCTCATGTCCTGTCTTTTCTCTCGTGTCCTGTCTTTTCTCTCGTCCTGTCTTGCTGCTTGAGACAGCATCGCCTCTCTCTGTCCAGTGTCCACCTGTCACGGCTTTTGAGGCGCCTGTTGTTGACTATTGTTGACTAAGCTGTCGTCGCCCCCTTTCCCTCTCCATCCCCCTCCCCCTCCCCCTTCCCCCATCCCACCTCCCACGTCCCGTCAATGCGCGAATCAACAGGTGGGCCCCGGCGCTACTCATTCTGGCATGCAACGCTCTGCTGTGGATCCAAACGCGGCCAGATGCAATGGATTCTAGCCTGCTTTCGAGCCCCTCTGGGCCGTCGCTTTCGAATCATTTCTTCACCCCTCCTGTTCTTGGAGTGAGTTCGGTTGCCCTGTTGTTTCTCCCGCTCTCCTTCTCACCCCACCCGCATGCGCATGCACAACCACACCCCTTTATTCCCCTTTTCTCACCCTCATTCACCTCCTCTCCATACGTTCGTATCCTTTTTCCTGCCGCCCATCCACCCATTTCTCTCCCACCCATGTCTCTCCCTTGTCCTGCTGTCCACTCATGTGTCTCCTGTCCTCTCCTTGTGGCCACGTGAAGTGAGGGTGTTTTTGAGACGTCTCAAAAAACACCCTCACTTCACGTGGCCTCCCTTGTCCTGCTGTCCACTCGTGTCTCCTGTCCTCTCCTTGTGTCCTTGATTTGAATCACCTTGTCTCACCTTGACTCTTCTCCCTCTCCTCTGCCCCGCCGTCAGGTGCTAGCAGGTCTCCTGATCGGCGCCACACCTCTCAGCCAACTCTTCCTCTTGCCACGTGTCACCGATGGATTGGCCGACACGAGCACTCTGTTGATTGACAGCGGGTCCCTGCTGGCGTGGCTGCAGGGGCAAGCGGGCGAGATGGCAGGGTGCATGCACTGCCTCATGGAGGCTGCATCGTTCCTCGGTTCGGCTGCTCTGCCACTCCACCTCATGGCGCTCGTCTCCTCTCTGGTCCCCCCCTTGGAACCGTCTCAAGCCCAGCATCAGCAGCATCAGCATCAACAGCAGCAGCAGCAGCAAGGCATCCTCGCACCTGTCAAGGCTACACGGGCCAGAGATGCTGCTGGTACTTCACCGGAGCTGCCCCTGTAACCTCATAGCGCTTGGTTCCTCTCTGATCCCCCTCGTGTCTCTCAAATCATGTCAGACCCAGCATCAGCAGCGGTACCAACAGCAGCAAGCCATTCTGTTAACTGTTGAGCTCACCCAGCCCAGAGACCCTGCTGCTTCTGCTCCGGAGCTGTCTCTGTAACGCAGGAATGTCTATCTCGACCTGATTCAACTGACCTGATTCGACTTCACTCCACTCCACTGGCATGGGAGCCCCAATAACAGACTCGGACACCTCAGCTCGGAGACTTCCAATTTGGTCTCATCTCTAACTTGCTCCTGCCCGACACATCAGCAGCAGCAGCAGCAGCATGGCAAGTTGTTGCTTGTCCAGCTAACACAACCACAAGTCTCTCCTCTCGTCCTGGGTATTTCTTTAATTCACTTGAGGGTCTCCAGCAGTGGCAAGCCAACTATTGACACAGCACCAACAACAAGCTGTCCTGTCATGTGTCAGTAGCAGCAGCCAGCACCAGCGGCGAGCCTGGCAGTGGGATCTGTATATGCTACGCTCTGTGTTTTTGGGGATCAGATGCTGTCGTGTTCCGAGTCCACCTTACAACGCCTTCAGCAACTCCATCTAAACCTTTACTGATGATGGGTGAGTTGATTTGTTTTCACCTGTTAGTTTGCCCTCTCTGCATTCGTTCCTGGCATGCATATCACTGAGAGAGTTCTGCTGTGTCCCCGTCTCTCTCCCTGCTGCTTGCAGGTTAAGATATGCCACACTGGGCACTCACAGCGGTTTAGACTGTGCACACCATTCTCTATGCAAGGTAAATATATGATTGAAACTTCGGATGGAGTGGCCAATTCGAACTGTTCCAGCACATTTCCCACAATGCACAAGCATTGTAGTGCACCTATAAGTACTAGCCCAGATTGCTTAAAATTCATAATTATTTGCTCTTCTCCCTTGCTCCTCTCCGCTGCTGCAGTTCTGCTACGTGCCACATCATGTGCTAGCAACACCACGACTTTGAAGCCATCTTTGTGCTGCAGCTGTTGCTGCTGAACCAATGACTACTGCTTGTCGAGTTTCTGCTGCAGTTGCTGCCGCTGCTTGTACTGTCACCATGTCTACCTGCTACCACCTATGCTTCTTTCCACTGTTTTCGCCAGCCTACCTCACCTCATTCTTTGTAGGAAACCAAAACGACCACGCTCACACTGTCATGCTACAGCTATGAGGAAAAAGCTAGTTACAGTGGTGGGTTAAGTGCCATGCTTGGATGGTCATCACATGGGGATGTTGAGGATGGTGAGGAAAACGGTAACCCAGATAGTGATGGGTAACATGGCCAGGGCGTACTGTAGGGGTGGGCAAACGTTGGGGAGAAATAGGGAGGGTCAGAAATATTAAGTGAGTTTTAATTTCTAGAAATTGCATCACAACCCCTGCTAAGTGTGTAGTGCTAAGTAATCTCCAGACAAGCAATCTACAGTCCTGTTTGCTGTGGGCAACACTGGTTTAGGGTTCCGTTGACACTGAACATCAAGCAGGAAGAAAAAAAATAAACCTTGGATGGCATACCATTCAAAGAGGCATCAAACCTAAACACGATGCGCGACAACGCGTTACAGTTTTGATACGTCCCCATAGTTTAATGCCAGTCATTGTGGGAATTGATGTTTTTGTCCCGGGCAGCGAGCTTCCTGGACAAGTTGGTTGTCAGCTGGAATGTACATTTTAGACTCAGACACATAAGGCATGGATGGAACTGCGCTGCACCGCATTAAACCTAGTGGACAATGACCGAACCATAACTGTCTTTCGCAGCACGAGGTTTTGTGACACGTGGTCAGGTTGTCTTTACTGTGAGCAGCATGTTCATATCTTCCTATCGGACAATAATTCTTTATCAATGACTGATGCTGGCATTGTTCCTTCATCAAAAGCTGATAAGCCCAGAGAGAAAAGACCAGGAGAAAATGGAGGGCAAAACATCCATATTTGAAGGAAAGAAAGGGGCTCACCTGTCGAAGCATGAGCGAGGCCAGCACTCCGGCGAGAGGACGGGTCTTGGAGCTCAGCTGCAGCCACGGAAGTGAAGGAAGAATAATTTGACAAAGGGATTAAGATTCTTGTTGTTGTTGTTGTTTTTTTTTTTTAACATGCTTCTAAAGGTGGGAAGCACAGTGTCAAGAATTTGTATTATGCTGATTCTTGTTGTTGTTGTTGTTGTTTTTTTTTAAACATGCTTCTAAAGAATTTGTATTATGCTGGGAACCAACTAACCTGAGTGAGAACCACAAGGCTCTGAGATGATGGCATTGCAGTGGGCACCTGAGAGAGGGACAAGCAAGAGAGAGCAGAGAAATAACTGATTTGGGTGAAAGAGCGGTGAGGGAAATGAAGCAAGAAAGAACCAGAAGAACGTTGATGCATGTACATGAGCAGTCATGGGGGCAGAAGGGCATATTGGGTCAGTCAGCACCCACCATGAGGCAAAGCGCGCAAATAGGGTCCTGGGGAATGAGGTGAGCATGGTAGAGAGCCTGTAGGAGCAAAGAGAAGCGGGGGGAGAGAAAGAAAGGCGACATTAGCTATTGAGAAAAGAGGGAAACGGGAGATGGAGGGGAGAGCGGAGCCAACCATCCATGTTGAAACATGTTTAGAAAGACAATTATGCCAGCAACACACCATGATGCTGGTCATGCCAACAACAGGGAACACCAGCAGGCGCACAAGTGACACCACTGCTGCCGTGTCAGGCCAACAAAGCAATCGGCAAGGAGCACTAAACCCTAAACCCTGGGAACGCACCATGATGCTGGTCGTGCCGACGATGGGAGACACCAGCAGGCGCACGAGTGACACCACCACCAGCGCACGATTGTCCAGCAGGGCTGCTGGCGGCCCTGCAGGCACCCTAAACCTTATAACCTCTACACCTTAAACCTCGACCCTAAACCCTGGGAACGCACCATGATGCTAGTCATGCCAACGATGGGAGAGACGAGCAGGCGCACGAGGGACACCACTACCAGCGCCCGATTGTCCAGCAGGTCTGCTGGCGGACCTGCCAAAGCTGGTGCGGTGGCAGGTGCAGCAGCCGCAGCAGCAGCACCAGCAGGAACAGCAGCAGGCACAGCAGTGGCAGCGACAACAGCAGATGCGGCGCCAGCAGTGGCAACGGATTCAGGTGCCGTGGCGGTTGGTGTTGCTGCTGTACGGGCAAACACAGCGGAGGAAGAAGGGGCGAGGGCGGCGGCAGTAGCAGGAGCCAGCGCAGCTGCCAGCTCAGGAGACATGGCGGGAGCAACAGGGCGAATAGGCGCTGCTACTTCCTCTCCCACGGCAGCTGCTGCAGTGGAAAGACCGGCAGCATCAGCGTCCCCTACAGCTGCTGCTGCTGCTGCAGCATCAGTGTTTGGTCGCTCCAGGTGCATGGCAGCACCCTGGCCCATGCTCAAATCCATTTCTAACTCCACCGCCTCTAGCCCATTCACCTCCAGTGCACCCGTGACGTCCCCATCCCCCAGCATCGCCACCCCCCCCACCGCCTCGGTGTTGCTCTCGGCCTCACACGACCGCACCTGCTTCAACCCATCCTCACCCCTCTCCAACGCCTCCGTGCCCCTCTCCACTCTCCCTTGGACTGGGATGGCCAGGACAGCAGCAGAGGCGCCACCAGCGACAACAGCTGCTGAAGCTGCTGATGCTGTGGCTGCTGCTGCAGCAGTGGTGGAATAAGAAGCTGCTAGGACGGAGTTCCCAAGGAATGGTTGGTGGGGGACTAAGCGGGCTAGGAGCCACAGTGAGGAGGCGGAATCAGAGGAGGAAGAGAAGGATGAGGAGGAGGAAGAGGGAGAAGAGGAGGACGAAGGGGTGAGGAGGGATTGGAGGAGGTGGTGGAGGTTGGCGAGAGGGGGAGAACCGGCAGGGAAGACAGGGGCGGGGAATTTGGCGGAGAGAGACTTTTGGAGGTTTGCAAAGGGGTTGGGAGGAGTGGGGAGGTTGGGGAGCGCGGGGAGGAATTTGGGCCAGGAGAGGTTGGAGGGGAGGGCGTCAGCGAGAGAGGAAGAGAGGACGATGGTTTGCACTGGCACGCACGCTCCCCCTAGCATGCCTGCTGCCTGCACGGAAGAATGGGCGGGTAGGGAAGGGACAAAGGGCACAGCACATTAGCGAGAGCGGAAGAGAGGTTGATGGTTTGCACTGGCACGCATGCTCCCCCCAGCATGCCTGCTGCCTGCACGGGTGAATGGGTGGGCGGGGAAGGGCCAAAGGGAACGTTAGCAAGGGAGGGGGAGAGGACGAAGACTTGGACAGGGATGCATGCTCCCCCCAGAATGCCTGCTGCCTGCAAGGTTGGTTGAGGCAAGCGCGACGGCAGTAGTGCACAATTAGCTTGGCACAGTGATCAGCAGTCACTGACCCCCAAACCCTGCAGTAAATTTTGAGAAATCAGAAAAATTGTACAGTCATTGAGCCCTAGACCATCTGTGAATAAACCTCTCGGTTGCTGGCCAAGTCTCCATGCCCCTCTGTTCAACCTCTTGCCCTTCCCAAATACAATCACGTGCATACCTCACCCAACAGTTCAGGGATGTAGCACAAACTCACCCCAAACAGAGGGTTTAGCACTCCGGTTGTAGCAGGGCTGAGGAGAGAGGACAGCAGGTCGCCTGAGCCAGCAGCAGCGGCTGTAGCAGCCGCAGCAGCATCAGCAGCAGCCGGCAGGAAGAAATGGCCGAGCGGGGTCGTGCCGATAACAACACCCACGAGCACCTGAGGGGGGTGAAAGGGAAGACAAGAATGGTGGGTAAGTTAGAAGGCAACAAGGCAGGAAGAAATGGCCAAGAGGGGTCGTGCTGATAACAACTCCGACGAGCACCTGAGGGATGATGAGGGAAGGGACGAAGACTAGGGTTTAGGGTTACAAGATAACAATGAAGGAAGAAATGGCCAAGAGGGGTCGTGCCGATAACAACACCCACGAGCACCTGAGAGGGGATGGAAAGGAAGGGAAGAGATTGTTTAGGGTTTCGGGTTACCAAGAAACAAGGACAAAATGACCGAGAGGGGTCGTGCCGATAACAACCCCCACGAGCACCTGGGGGGTAGAGAACAAGGAAAAGAATTGCATGAGGTAAGTAGGAGAGGAAGAGACAGGAATAAGGCAAAAGAGGTGAAACGGGTAAGAAATGGGTGGGTACCCAAACTACTCACCCAATATATAAGCTGGTATTCAAACAACTCACCCCGTACATAGGCGGGTTGAACACCTTCTTGGCCACGCCAGAGACACACTCCACAGCGTTGCTCGCCCACGCACGCACGGAACCAACACCACCACCACCACCAGCACCACCAGCAGCAGCAGCAGCAGCAGCAGCAGCAGCAGCAGCAGCAGCATCAACAGTCGCAGCTGGCTTGGTGGTGGTGCTGCTGCTCACACCGCCAGCAGGCTTGCCCGCGTCCTTTAGGATGCTGTAGCCAATCGTCCACAGCGCCGGCTGCCAGCTGTTGAAACGGAAAGGTGGGTTTGTGAGGAGGGAAAGACAGGGGGGGAAAGGTTAAGGAGAGGGAGCAGACCAGCCTTGCCCGTGTCCTTTAGAATGCTATGCTGTAGCCAGTCGTCCACAAGGCAGGCTGCCAGCCAGAACACCAGAGGCAGGGAAACGCACATACGTACACTCACCCCATCATGAAGAGTGCAAGGTAACCCGCTGCCCTGTCACCGTCCACCTGGCTGAGCAGCGCCGTGAGGAACACCAGCGGCAGCGAGAGAAGCTGGACAGTGGTGTGACCAGACGTCTATGGGGCACACAAGAACTCACCCCATCATAAAAAGAGCAAGGTAGCCGGCTGCCCTGTCGCCGTCCACCTGGCTGAGCAGCGCCGTGAGGAACACCAGCGGCAGCGAGAGCGAGTTGCTGAACGCACACACCGCGGTTACCACCGACTCCTTGGTTCGCAGTGCTGCTGCTGCTGCTTCTGCCGATGCTAGTGCTGTTGATACTGCTGCTGCCGTTGATGCTGGTTCGGCAGCAGTGGCGACAAGTTCAGTGAGGGTTTCTCTGCTGGTGCCACTGCTGTGCTTTAGGTTCTTGCTGCTGCTGCTGCCGGTGTTGCCGGTGACGAGAGAGGGAAGCAGGGCAGCGGATGGCAGCAGCGACGACGGCTTGTGGAAGGCCACGAGGCACGCAGCCTTGCCCAACACCGTGCCTACCAGCACCTGAATGGAGAGCAGGAAGGGTGGTGTTGGCAAGGCATTAGGAAAGCATTAAACATTCCGGCAGCAGTGAAGACAGCTTGTGGAAGGCCACGAGGCACGCAGCCTTGCCCAATACGGTGCCTACTAACACCTGGAGAGGAAACACACACGTGGACACAAGAAACGCAGGAGTGTTGGGAAGGCAGCAGGCAGGCAGCAGGCAGGCAGCAAGCAAGAAGGCAGCAAGCAAGAAGGCAGCAAACAGGCAGCAAGCAGCAGCGCGGCATCAGGCAACAGAAGGCGGATGGTCCACAGCATGCAGCGGTTGAGTCAGTGCTGGCAATTACCTGGAGAATAGCAATGAGCGGCAGCACTGCGAGGGCTGACAGGGACTCGCCAGAGAGAGTAGTGGCCACCTGCAGCGAGCGGGAACGCGATGGAGGGAAGGAGGGGAGGGGAAGGGGGAGGGGGACGGGGACGGGGAGGGACGTATGGACGGGGTGGAAGGGCGGAAGGGAGAACACAGGAGAAGAGATGGATGAGTAAGGTGACGAGATTAGAGTGAGAAGGTAATTAGAGGGAAAGCACATGATTCGATGATAACGCAGAAAAATTGTGATCGGCATGCACGGGAGATAAAAGAAACGGAGGCAGGGAACAGAAATGCATGGGAGGCGTACCTTGCTCATTAGGAAGCATGGGATGAGCACTCGGAAGGAGACCTGGGGAGACAGAGGGTGGACGAGGGCGAGGGTGAGAGAAGCGAGGCAGAAGAAAGTTTCATGGGGAGAAGCGAGGATGAAGGGAGGTTCATGGGGTCATTAAGAGTTCACAGTGAAGCTACAGTGAGGCGACAAATCGTACATAAATTACTGGAAATCTTTGGTTATTCGCGCGCCCCTGTGCTTGACTGATAACGGTGCAGGTGTGAGCACTGGTGTACGGCTAAACATGCGCACGTGCTAACATCGCCAACCGCGCACGCCTGCTCGCACCCACCCCGTTCACACACCCGCAAACCCCATCAACACACCTGGCTGAGCACAGAGGGCGTGGACTTGGGGAGAATGCCCGACTCAAACCACCCCCACCCCGCATCCGCACGCTCAGTAGCCCCCCCCCCCAACCCCCGCACGCACACGCACACGCAAGGACAAGCGCACCTGGCTGAGCACAGAGGGCGTGGACTTGGGGAGAATGCCCGACTTCTGCAGACACACCACGAACGCTGCTCTCACACACGCACACACGCACAGCATGAAAGGAGGTGGAGCAGGGGGGAAAGGGAGGGCGAACGGGGGGCAGGAGAGGAGGGGAATCAAAGGGGAGAAGGGGAGGAAGAAGAGGGGCGAGGTGAGGCGAAGGAACTTTTAGACGGGCGAAGAGGCGCGAAACGTAAGGAAATGTGAATGACGATATGCGAAGGAGCACCGGGGGGAAGGAGGAAGAGGGGCGAGGTGAGGCGAAGGAACATCGACTTAATGGGAGGCGAGTAATGTAAGATGTAAAATGTGTATGGCAACATGCAACGGAGCACGGGGGGAGTGAGGAAGAGAGGAGGGAGGGAAGGGAGGGGTGGGGGGAATGAGATAGGGAAGGTAGAGGAAGAGAGAGACGCCAGGCGGGAAAAATCGCCTTCCCAAAACCTTGCAAAGAGAAAAGGCGGCAAATCTTATGAGGCGTTTACAAACCTAAATTCTGAGACGTCTTAGATCTTACCGCAGATGCCGAAGAGCTTAAACACAGTTCCGAAGGCGGCTTTTAACACGGACACATTGACACCGAACACCACGTCAGCAGCCGCGCCCGCGGGACCCGCCGCCTCCTTCCCCGCATCCGCGGACGCGGCGGGAGCGGAGTAATTGAGCGACACAGGCGCACTGGGCACCGGAGCCCTAGAGGGGGACATGCGCAAAACCGCAGCAGTAGGCTCGGGCAGAACATAGTTTCCAGCAGGGAGAGAAGCGGGTAAGGCGGCCGGTAGTGCGGTCGGTAGTGCAGCCGGTAGATTAGCCGGCAGGGATGCCGGAACTGCCGAGGATTCAGCGACTGCGGGAGCCGTTAGCGGCTCGTTACTAGTCCCCACCGACGCGTCACTCGTGACGTCAGCGGAAGGGTATGTGTACACTAGCGGCGGCGCGGCGAAGCCCGATCGATCCGCGAAGCTTCCTTGGTCGAACGTGATCGGAACGGGCAGCGAGCGGAACGACGAGAAGAACTGCGCCGAGTGGTACAGCGACGGCCACACGTCGCCCGTATTCACCGCCGCGATCGGCGGCAGAACCTCCGCCGGCAGCCCCGCCGCCGCCACGTCAGCAACGCGGTTGAAAGCGGCGGCGGAGGCGGGGGAAACGGTGGGGAGGCAAGGCGCGGCGGTCACGATGCTGAGACCTATGGCGGCTGCGGTGGCCGTCGCAGCCGCGCGGATAAAGACGGGAGCCGATTCCTTAGGATTCCGAACCCCGTGTTCTGCGCTGGGAGCCGTTGCGAGCGACGCGGCTTCGTCAAACCTTCCTCGCATCAGCGCGCGGAGGAGCTGCGAGGAACGGGAGGCGGGTTCGGAGTGCGGTGTGCCGCTAGCCGCTTTCTTCCGTCGTCCTGCAATCTTCCTCCGTTCGCCTGCGCTCCTCTTAGCTTCGCCAACAGTCTTGATTTGCCGGTCGCCGGTAATCTTAGCGTCCGGTCCTTGCTGTCGTGACACCGAGTTAAACTGCTGCATTGAGCCGACGGCTTCCGGAGCGCCTTCCCGGGTACCACGGACCGCGACTCCACAGTCGCTCTGACAATCCTCCCCATTGGCTGCCACATAAGACCCAGCGGATTCTCTGGATCCAACTGAAGACGACTCAATATAAACAGACTCCGTAGGGCTCGTAGTACCAGCGTTCACCACCTCCCCATCAACATTGCAACTGCTGCTCCCGGCGCTGTTACCGGCGTTGCTACCAGAAGTAGAAACAACGGGAACGGCGGGAATCGTCGGAGAGGAAGTTGGGGAAATCAACGGTGTCCTCAATTCGGAGGAGCATTTGACGGTTCCGCCACGATTGCCGCTGATGCCGATACCACAGCAACTGTTCCGCTTCTTCAGGCAATTTGCGCGACCGAGAACGCTGATCGAACGGGTAGCGTCAGACAAAAGAGATCCCTCCGGCGACGGAAGCAACGGCCGGCGTGAAGTTACGCAGAAACCGGGAGGGGAGCAAGAGCTGCTAGAAAGTCCACGGGCAGCGGAGGAGGAGGAGAGCGTGAGCGAGACGCAAGGAGGCGCAGAGCAGCGGAAGAAAATGGCGGCCATTCAGAAGAGAATTCTTGAAATCTTAAAGCACCTTGTTAATAAAAAGTCAGTCTTAGTAACGGATCAATCAGGCAATATAACCGGGCTTGTATTAGCAGAGCTCCTCAGCGTGATAGAGCTTCTTCTGTGACTCTCGAGTGAAAGAAGGCTTTAAAGGCTAATGAATACTCGGGTCTTTCTATGACGGCGGTTTAAGCGATAATTAAAAGGTTAATACGTCCTCAGCCTCCTTTCTAAACAAGAGCAATTGATAACTCAAAACTACTACGAAGTAATGAGCATTCAAGAAAAGCCCGCGAAATATAAACACTGATACAGGAGATCCGAGTCGCGGGGAGGACGCAGCTACCTCGGTGACAGGACAGTCAAGTACGGAAACGGACCAGGCACAGGGAATCACCAGCCAGCTGCTAAGATTTTATGGAATGGAGGACAGGCCAACTTTCCACTAATATAGTACGGAGCAAGTGTTTCCTGTGCATACGTTCCCAGTTCAAGTACCACGGTCTAGCTCGCTTCGTTGCGGTTGAAACCGGTGACAGCTAAGAACCGTAACTTACCGCGTGAGAACAATCTGAACCAAGCTGGACGACCAGCAGAAGCCTTGGTTCTCTCTCTCAAATGCCATGCCTCATATCGCTCCCAACCACCCAGGTTACAGTAGATCGGACGGACCAGAAGCATGGATGGATGGATGGTGCAGCGATGCTGCCCTGCTGAGCTGACGGAAGCAACGTTTCGCAAACGGCCGCCACTGCTGACTGCGACCCCCGCACGGCATTGGAGAAATCATGCGTGTTGGCTCGGGGTTCGGGGTCCCACCTGGTTCGGATGGCGGTGTGTGGCTGGTTCAGTATGACTGATCTGGTCAGGGCGTGATCTACATCAGAACAACACACTATGTAGCTAGAGAGACGTTGCATTGCGATGGAGCATAGATTGTGTGGTTGAACTGTTCTGGACTCCAAGAACCGACCTAACTGCTCAAGGAAATACGATACGTGCTTCTTGAACAGGATCTGAGGTCGACTGTGGGACTAATGAGCGGACACGGTCAAGGGCCAAAGCTAGCCCGAGCCCTATCCTTATTACTAGGCTTGGAACGACTGACTGATGAACATACCGACAAGCCTAAGCAACAAGCACTCGGGCAGCGTACCACAGAGAGTTTCATAATGGCAGGTTCGGCTAGTATCGAGGCTGCGCTATTAGCTGAAAATCTTCAAGGTTCAGATTAGTCGAATGTGGGTGAGGCTTGTCATTGGCCTTCAGACGCTTCGGTACGGCCTACCGCAAACACCAGAGCTGAGCTCGCTTCCGAGGCAAGCGATCTCACCAGCCTGTCAAATCCCCTCCTCCAGCCGCAGTCGCTTTGCAGCTGCCATAGTTGAGAAGGAACTCAGGTTCGGTCGGGAAGAGCCTTGTTGCAGTACCTCCTTGGCTGGTATGGTTCTTCTGAAGGCGGCCTGAGACGAGCCTTGTACAGTAGCCCCCAGCACGCAAACCTCCTCCAAGCCCATCGTGCCAGTTGTCCTAACATGTTTGGGCGATGGATTATCCACGTCAGTATGACATCGTCCAGGCCCGTATCCGTCATGGCTTGGTCAACGTGTGTGGTAAAGGACACAACTAGAACAGTCTCTCCCAGACCTATGGAAAGTAGGCGATAAGGCAACCAGGGGGGTGAATGCTGGTTTCCCGCTATCACGTACAGTCATAGAAAATGTTTCGAGTGCAATTGAGTGAGCGAGCGAGAATTCCACTATCTAAGCAAGAGTACAATGAGCAAAGGCATGAGCGAAGAATATATAGCGAAACTACAGTGGTAACAGTAATGAACTGTGGGTGACGCGCGACGGGCCTGGAACCGAGGTTTGGGAAAATGTCGAGGCGGAGGCCCGGAGCGCGGGTTACCCACCGAGACGTGAGGTCGGGGTGCGATGTACGAAGGTGGCGGAAGGATTGCCGATGCGAGGGTTGCGAGTGGTAACGGTGCTGACGGTGGTGCTACAGTGGTATATGCGCTTGAGCAGGGGCGCGAAGTAAGGAAAAGGAATTTTCCTTACACTATCCCCCCCCTAAGGAGGCCCTCCTTACGAAAGCGCGTGTACATCTCGGAAATTTCAGCTGCGCAGGTACTCCGTGAGGACGGGGTGGTTTTCGATTCTGTCCAGGGAAACCCAGTTGTCTTCGGTGGGTGTACGGCATCTCCAGCGGATTAGGAATTCGATCCTTCGGGCTCCTCGTGGGTCACGAACTCGGTGGCTCAGGATCTTCTCGAGTGTTATGATTGGCTCGGTCGGTGGTCGTGTCATGCTAGCGGGGCGATTGCCTGGCAGTTGGCTTGTGGATGGTACGTAGGGGCGACGCAGGCTGACGTGGAAGTATGGGCTGACGTACCAGTCAGCGGGGAGGAGGAGATGGGCGGTGACGGGTGTAATCATGTGGCTGATGCGGAATGGTCCACAGTATCGGGGGCGAAGTTTTGGGGTGATGGGCAGGCGGAGATTCTGGGTGTCAAGTAAAACTAGGTCGTCGGGATGGTAAGTGACAAGTCGGCGGTGACGGTCGGCGTTGCGTTTAGCGATGATGTTCGATTTTTTTATTGCGTCTGCTGCCCGGTTCCGTGCTGCTTGTAAAATTTCAGCGAACTGTTGTGCTCATGGCACCGGGTTGTCGGGATGCGGAGTCATGGGTACTGTCGGGTCTTGTCCGCACTTCAGGTAAAATGGTGACTGTTGGGTCGTGGCAGAAGGTGAGTTGTTGTACGCGAACTCGATGAGTGGCAGTTGCTGTTCCCAGGTGGTTGGGTCGTCGCACGTGGCTCGAATGAGTTGTTCCATGGTCTGATTTGTCCTCTCTTTCTAGTGCCGAACTGCTGCCACAGGTTCCGCCAGAAGTTGCTGGTGAATTTCGTATCTCAGTCGGTGGTGATCGCTGCTGGTATCCCGTGCAGTCGAACGACGGTGGAGATGAAGAGGCGTGCTGTTTCTTTGGCTGTGATTGATTTTTTTGCAGGCTGCGAAGTGTGCCATTTTCGTTAGTCGATCGACGACGACCAGGATCGCGTCGTTCCCACTTGCCCCGGCCGGTAACCCCGTGACGAAATCCATCGTCACCTGCTGCCAAGCACGCTCTGGGGGTGGTATCGGTTGCAACTGTCTTGCCGGCCGCTTCCGTGATGATTTCATGAGCTGGCAAGTGGGACACGATGCCACGTGTTGCTGTACGTTGGCCAACATCTCGGGCCAGTAATAATACCGCTGCAGCTGCTGCCGTGTTTTCTCTACCCCGAAATGCCCTGAGGTAACCCCGTCATGTGCCTCTTGTAATAGTAACTCCCGTAGCAGTGTGTACCGTGATACCCAGATGCGGTTAGTCCCAGTTTTTACGTAATAGACTCCCTTTGCTGTTGCGAACTGTTGCGAGCTTCCTCCTGTGAAGAATGGATCCGTTTGGAACACGTGGGTAAATAGGCCTGTCAGTAGTGGACTGGTCTGGGCGAGTAGTATTGCGTGGATCAGGGCAGTGGGGCGGGTCAGTGCGTTAGCGATGTTCGATGCCCCCTTTTTGTAGGTGACTGTGTAGTGGAAGTTTGACTCGAGGAAATCGAGCCAGCGAATCTGTCGTGGGTTGATGTGTGGCTGTGCGGGGAGGTACTGTAGTGATTTATGGTCTGTCCGTACTGTCACGTCTGCGCGCGGTCAATTAACAGCGCCACACTTTGAACTCGTGCACGATCGCAAACATTTCGCGGTCGTGTATCGGGTAATTTTTCTCGGGCGGATGCAGTTTTCGTAATTCGTATGCGATGGGCTGTAGGCTGTTGCCGAAGTCCTGTCAGATGATTATATTACTGATGCATATACTTAGGCTGTAGTGGGGTAGCCCATAGGGGGTACAACCCAATTAGGGTTGGTACTTGTACTTGTTTCATTTCATAGTGCACTCATTCCTCGCCTCTATCTCAAGAAGTCCTATAGCAGTACGGCTCCGATGGCGATGTCACTTGCGTCGGTAACTACTTCGAATGGGCGGTGAGGGTCGGCGATGCGTAGTACGGGCGGTGAACGGATAACATTTTTCAGGGCAGAGAAGGCAGCATGCTCTTTCTCCCCCCACGTAAAAGCAACCCCCTTCTGTAACAAGTCCGTCAGCGGCGCTGTTAACCATGCCATGTCGGGGACAAACCGACGCACGTAATTGACGAACCCTAAAAAGCTATGTAGTTCCGTGATATTTGTCGGGGGGTGCCAGGCTTGCACTGTGTCCAACTTCTTCGGGTCAATTTCGACCCCAGCCTTCGAAATAATGTGCCCCAAAAATTATAGCATGTTCTGAAAAAACTCGCACTTGGATGTCAGTAGCCAATGCTCGTCTAAAATTTTAAATACTACTTCCAGATCTGCGAAGTGCTGCTG